GGTTGTCGAAGGGTGTCCATAGCTGGGAGCATCCTGGCCACGGCCGGCTTCGTCGTCAGCTCTTACGCGAACTCGATGGAAGTTTTGATATTCACGTTCGGCGTCCTCGCCGGTTTCGGTTTGTCCCTGTGCTTCGTCGCAGCCGTGGTCATAGTCGCCTATTACTTCGACAAGAAGAGATCGTTCGCCACAGGGTTGTCCGTATGCGGAAGCGGTATAGGAACGTTCATATTCGCCCCTGTCACCCAGTACCTGCTCGCCGAGTACGGTTGGCGGGGAACCACGTTGATATTGGCAGGCCTGTTCCTCAACCTGGCCGTGTGCGGCTGCCTGATGAGGGATCTGGAGCGGACGACGATCAGGGCGAAGGCGAAGCCCGAGGAGAGGCGGAAGAATCGGGAGAGGAAGAGGGGCAGGATACAGAGCTCGAGCGTGGACTCGTTCTCGGCGAACAGCTCGCTCAACACTCTCACGATCATGGATAATCTTCGGATTCAGGAGAAGGAGGAGGACGACGAGAAGCTGTTCTCCAGTCTGGTGAGCTTGCCCACGTTCGTGAAGAACAGCGAGAAGGTGCCGTTGGAGGTATTGGAACTTCTGAGCACGCGTAAGAACGTGTACAACGTGTTGCTGCAAAATTATCCGAGCTTGCTCATCTCCTCGAGAAGTTTCAGCGACTCGGGGCCCCTTCACGACCAGCTCAGCACACCCTCGGCCCGATTCGTGCCCACCCCCAGCTCCCTGTCCGAGTTGAAGAGCGAGGAGAACAAGGACGAGGGTAAGGTGTCGGCCAACGACGAGCAAACCCTTCAACAGCAAACGGACGCCGCTTGGCGGCTGTGGTGGTCGAAGAAGATCAATCTGGACAGCTCGTTGAGAAGATCCAGCACCTTCGACCATACGAGGAGATTGCCCACCGCTTATTTGAAGGATATCAGAGTGCACAGGCACAGCCTCACCTACAGAGGGGCTATGCTCAACATAAATCGATACAGACTCAGGGCGTCCAGTTGTCCGGATATTTATAGGAACTCGATGACCACCATAGCCAAGACCAAGCTCGTGTGGTACGCGGGCCTGTGGGAGTTCTGGGACCTAGTCGTCGACATGCTCGATTTCTCCCATTTCGCAGACTCCCGCTTCTTGCTCTTCGCTATCAGCAATTTCCTCCTTCACACGTGGTACGACGTCCCCTACGTCTATTTGACGGACAACGCGATCGAGATGGGATTCAGCGAAACCGATGCCTCCATCTTGATATCGGTTATAGGGATATCCAATATGAGTGGCGAG